ATATATGGTAAGTAGATATCAATAACAAGGAGGCAAGGTTCGATGGTACAATACTTCTACTATTAAGAATTTAGATATCATATACTTGTGTACTTTTTTGAGATTTGAAAAAATCCCTTCAGGATTTTACATCTCATAACTTACAATCCAGAATGTAGTTCACCAGAGCCATCAGTAAATCAGATTTGGTGCAAGCTGTAATGTGGAACAGTTTTTTTAACTGCCTTATGTTCAATATTTTCTTCACTGATCTTTTTGAACAAATTTAGAGTAATCTCCACTGGTTATACTTTTAGTCCATTTTTGATCGCAATAAAACTATATAATACTAGAATCCTAATTATAAGTGTCTATACTGAAAATAAATTGAATGTTCTCCTTCATTTGAGTATGAAAAACCTAAAAAATGATATATTGCTATATTATAAAGGAAAACATTATTCCTCAAACTCTATCAACGATTGAAAAATTGCTTTAGGAATATTATAAAGCATACTACACAAAAATAATGATAAATTACAAATTGGTAGTATAGAAATATGTCTACACTACGTTGAAATATAGAATTGGAATTGAGTTACTAAATAAACCTATTTGAAATCACTATTAAAGATAATTTTGCTCTACTGTAAGTAAAAGAAAAAGAGGCATTATGATTCCATGATAAAACACCAAGCAAATGGAAACAGGAAAATATGAATTAGCATGTAACAAAATAGAGTAAAATCAATGTATAAACAAAACGTTAAATGAACTAAAGATTTTTAAATAAACACACACACACACACACACACACACACACACACATAGCCAAACAGCTACCTTCTGATCCTAATGAAACGATAGTTATTCCTACAATTAATATCTTGCAATAGTCCTGTTAGGCGTCTTGAATCAGAATATTTGGGCCAGTCGATGTCAAGAATTGGAACTCATTATTATGAGCGTCTCCAGTGAGACAGACCTCATACCGGTAGCTGTGGGACAGCGTCCCAGCGCCGCCGACGTCCACCAGGCGGCCCAGAAAGGGGCCCTCGGG